TCTCTCTCTCTCTCTCTCTCTCTCTCTCTCTCTCACACACACACACACACACACACACACACTGTCACTAACAAGCAGTCACAAAAAAGCTTTCTAAACTTTAGTTGCATTTCTAGACAATGTTTTCCGCCTGTTAATAAATAGTACTCAAGGAATTATCTAGCCTAACAAATATTAATGGTGTTAAGGGACAGAAATATCGTGGAACCCAGGCCTGGAAGAAGAATCGCTTTGTTTCATTTGAATGTCCTCTAGCCTGTCCCTCCTGTCTTGTTTTGAGACACGTCTCCTGTAGCCCACACAGGCTTCTAACTTCCTGTATGGCCAGGGCTGACTTTGAACTCCCGGTCACACCTCTCAAGTGCTCTAACTACCATGCCCAGTTTTATCTCCTTGAGCACCTCTAGGACAGGGTTCCTATCTTTCCAAACAGACTCTTCTCTCTTTGGAAACCTGTTAGAACATTCTTCCTAAGATGAAATGATAAGCAGAGTGGTTTCTGCTTGTCTACAGGCTCTGGGGAAACCTAAACCTCTTAGGTCATTCCACCAAGATGCCCAAGGCAGCCTCCAGAGAGTTAACATAGCTCTGGGCTCATCTGCAATAGCTTTCCTCCTACCTACAGTTTACATGTGATCACTGGTGTTTGAATGAGTCAGGGCTGAGCTCTGAGCAGGTGAGCTGGAACAAGCAATATCATGTATGTGTGTGGAGGGCAGGTGCCAGGTAATATGAGGAGACCCAGGTAGATCCAGGGTTAGAAGCTAGTTTGGATCCTGGCCTGCCCACTCAAGTAGTAGACAAATCATTTCCACTCCTGCCTCCAGGATCCTGACCTCGTCCAAAGGGGTACTGATAACTGGATCTCACCCTTGAGTTGCTCACACATTCCACCACATATTCTTACTTTCTAACCATAGAAATCACAAGCCTAGAAGAAAGGCCTCAGCAGGTGGCATCTTAATAGGCTGATCAGACAAGGCAAGGCATCAGAAGACCACATCCTCTGTAATTCAACTCCTAAGCTGAGTACCTCTGCCCCTCCTGCTCTAAATTCTTAAGTCTATATTTTCCTTGCAAGATGAGGAGTCATGAGGCAAGATGGAACATATTCTTTAGATTCTTTTCTGAGAATATTGATGAGTTCCCCACATTTCCAGCCCCAGAAAGGTTCCAGCCATGTTGGGTCAGCAATGGAAGTATCACCCACTTACCTGGAGCATAGCTCACACTGGGTTCCTCAGGAACTTGGACCTTGTACAACCTGTCTCAGGCAGCCTTCCCAGCACAGTACAGCCCCTAAACCTTGTAGGGTTCCAAGGCACACAGAGAAGAGATGTTAACCACAGTCTTGTTGAAGCCAGGGCTGTCTGGGAAGGCTTTCAGGGTGCCGGAGCTGAGCAGAGCATGAAGTCATGTTTAGAGCCCCGTAGTTGTTCACCTCTGCTGGGTCACGCACGTTCAGGAAGCCTTTGGAAATGTCCCCAAGAGTACCTGATAAAACAGGACCAAAGAAATGACACAGCAGCGGGGGCTCTCTTCTCCTCAGCCTTCTGCAGTTTTTCCTCATATCCATTTTTTACATCTACCAATGCTCTGCAGATGCTGCTAATGCAAGCTAAGAATACACCTGTCTCAGAGCTCTGTAGAAAAGTAGGGGGATTCATTCAGAAACTTGAATCCAGCTCCTGCCAGGGGGCATTGCTCAAGGCAATGGAGAAAGTTTCACAGGAGCTTTAGACAAGGAACCTGTGCTAACCCTACAGGGACATCCTGTTTCTGCTTGGAGTCTTGACCTTCAGGTACTACCCACTAAGAGGCCTCAGCCCTGGACTGGTAGGGAGTCTCACCTGCATTGTTGATGAGCAGCAGGCTCTGCTGACCCTTGGGTCTGGGGAGCTTGCAAACTGTGCACAACAGCTGCTGTACTCTGGCCTCGGATTCCAGGTCAGCTGCTGCCCACCCCACTCGCAGGCCAGGATGCTGTGTGCAAAGTTCCTCCTCCAGCTGTGGCAGAGCCAAGTGACTGCATGCCCTGAGGAGCATCATGGAACCTGGCGACCACAACAGGGCCAGTGTGTGGCCAAACCCTCGGGTGGCCCTATCAGCACACACGCAGTGAGATCCAATCTGCCTTCCTCCATGCCTGGAGATCAGTGGAGCACACAGCTACTAAACCACCACAGGGCAGGGCCTACCCTGGGCACAGTGTATCAGAGGGGCTGGCAAGCATCCATCAGTGTCTGTGTGAGAAAAACAACCAATAGTCACAGAGTCAAGACCTGGCAGGAAATCGCCATCCCCATTGCAGAGTAGGCTGATTCCACTTGAGCCACTCCTACAAGGTCAGCCTCTTCCTGGGAACATGTGTCCTCAATTTCCACCCTGTTCCAGAACCAGCTTCCTCCACCAGGCTGGTTTGTCTTCATTCAGGGCATAAGAGGAAACAAACAGTGAAAACAGTGGATCAAGTCCTTCCTTGATATTGGGGTCCCCTTGCACTGTGGGTGACAGAAGATTTCTCTGGAAGAGCACAGCAGCTCCACCAGGAGAAAATGGAAAGGACACAGGAAAAGAAATCCAATGATCACAACAGTCCCATAAACAAGATGATGACCCTTCTAATAGTAAAAGCACACCTTGATTCCTTGGCAGCTTCAGACAGCAACCTTAGTCCATTCGCCCATGTCTTGAAAGTATTAAACCAATTTGTAATGTCAAATGATAACCTAAAACTCACTAGGAGACATGGTGGTATGCACTTGTAGACCAACACTTGGGGGAATAGCAGAGAAGAAAAAAGAGGTTAAGAAAGAGATGGTTACAGTCCATTCTCAGCATGAGGTGAGCTAGAGTTGATCACAGTGACAGACAAGCAGGCTGCTCCTAGACCCTCTTCCCTAGCTAGTCACTAGCCCCTGTTTGTTTCAGAAAGTTACAAGTGCTGTGCTCATTAATTTAGCTGGTTCAGATTAGTGAAGCTGGCAATCAGAAGGGGCCAGACTCAAGTCTCAAATTATTTATTGAATGAGGATTTTGTCCTAGGCAAATGATATGGAGAATTAGGGGCATGCAAGTCCTACAAGCCTACAGGAGAGCAGGAATATTTCTTAATATGTTTTTTTAAA